CTTGTTCATTGTTGGATACATCGTGTTCAATTGTTTTTTCACGTATGCCTTTTGCAGTTATAATAAACTTAAACTTGCATAAATGCTCTCTTCTGCAGTTGTGGAGTCCGTCTCCGAGCGAGTTTTCAGCTTCTTCGGTAATAGCGAGCAACACCGCGAAGCCTCCACCTAATTAGGCCTGTGCAATGGGAAGCTATGCCTGTTCGTCACCGTGGGTGACCTTACAAGAATGATACTCAAAAAGGAGAGCAAATGTTTCCCAAATTTCCAAGTGCGTCATGCCCTTGCCGGAAGCTGAGCAAAAATAATGTTATCGATCCCGCTGAGTTGGAAAACCTTTTCCTCTATTTGGATAAGCCTAACCATGCATATACTTCAGCGTGTAATCTGATAGTGTGTTCGTTCTATGGCATATTCCAGCTCCGACCATCCAGGCGCATTCAGTACGTATTCCGACATCAGCCCAGCTCTGCTCCTACACTAGGTTGCCAGGTTTCGTTTCTGTTATTTATGCCTCATACTGGGTTTAGAATAATGAAGCGCACAACGCTTGCGCGCCCTACATTCAGCTTACAGTCAACATTGTCAAAGAATTGCATATTCGTAAAGAGTATTTGACTTTTACAATGATTGTTCTGTTCTCAATGTATTGCTGAATGCTATTGCAGTCCAGTACTGGACAAAAGTCATCTCAAATCCTCCTACAATGCTGCGCAAAAGTTAAGTGCATGGCGCATTCGCGGAAAGGATGAGTAGCACCGCGCATGTTACTATAACAATGCTCACTTTTGATTATCAAGTCCTCGTTGGTTGTAGACAGTCATAGAGCCGGTTCACATTATAATCTTTCCATGGGCAACCAAGAGATAATATTAAAAACGGAGTTGTTTTTGTTTAATTATTAAAATGTTTTGTTTTGTTTTGGTTTTGTAAAAACGGAGTATTTTTAAGAATAATCAGTGTAAACAGAAAAGGATAAGACACGAACTCTGCGGAAATGTAGAGGTTTCAGTGAAAACTTCGCTGTCATCGCGCGATTCAGCGTCAATCGAGCTAGCTTCCCAATCGTTGGCTCTCTTCTGACTGATTTTACGCCAGCAGCCTTCCTTCTCAATTCTTGAAGTTGTTCCCCTGAAAATCGTACATTCAAATTCTTCCGCTTACTTACGGCTCTACGTTTCTACTAGGGGATAGGGACTACCATTTACCTTGAGCAAATGAAGCTGTTTGTAAAGGATGGAACTGCTCCACCAAATCGATTCTCGTGCGGTCGTAAGGGCCCACGTAGAAGGACTAAATTTGTAGATTAATGAATGTTGTTAACGATAGACATTCGGTATGACCTCAAGTTCAGCAACCATACCACCTGCACAATCACTTAGCACTCAAGGAAAAGGAGATTC